ACTACGAATTCTAGATAATTACTTTTTAAACTTCTGGATATAGAGACCATTTAAAAAGTTGATTTTGAAAATAAAATAGTAGCATCAACATTTACCTTTATAATTCCTATGTGATGTTAAGAAGTAGAAAATGTTTATCACATTGATTTTAAATCCAATGGGCAGAAGCTGAAAGAATTTAGAGTAGCCTCAAAACCTCTGAAAAAAAGAATAGATTATGGGATGGAAGTCTGTTCTTCTGGAGTTAAGGGCTGATGTCTTGGATCGTTCTTCCTTCTGCTTTCTATTTTTCCTGTGTTTCTGATGTACAAGTTTCTCATCTGAACTTCAATTCTAACTAACTTCTCACTGTAGCAAATTCAAACAACTTCAAGCTAGAAAGGAAGATTCATCCTTATCTGTAACAGACATACCAACCAACAGCATTATGAGTTTTTCTCTACTATGAAAGTTTAAGGGTCCGATCAAAATCAAAGAAAAGGAAGTAACAAGAGGGTCCTCAATATTATTAAGCTAATTTTAGATGGAGCCCCTGTTTGGTTTAAATGTCTAATTTGTGAGCTGTATAACTATAGACTTTGAAAAATTCCTTCATAGAAGCAAAAAAAAATTAATACTGTATTTCCCTTAGTACCCCCTATTCACCTCTAGTATGAATTATCATTTATTTGCATTTCATAACATTTCTAAAATTGCCATCATTATAAACAATTCTTACTTTCTCATTCAAGAAGTCCCAATCAAGTTAAGTGGAAGCGATGGTGTAATTGAGATTCTGGTATGCATAAAAATGATATTTTCACTTCATCTACCCCATTTCCCTTTTCTGGGTCATTTGGGTACTTCACTCACCTGCTGAAATGCTTTTAAAAATCTTATCTGAGGACACCATTCAAGAAGCTTTTCTTTCGCTTACTAAATTCTTGGAATCTTAAATGCAAAGAGCAAATGGTACTCCATGTTCTTAATCAGCTAAGAGCTACACATACAGGGCAGCCAACTCAAAATTTGTATGAAGTATTTTTACTTACAATTCCTCTCCTTGTTTTGCTTTCTTGTCTGAAACCAGATAGACAGTTCCAAAACTTCCACTACCAAGTTTTTGTTGAAGCACATATCTTCTTGCAATCAAGGTCTTTGGATAAGTAGAAATGGCTATTGATCCATTCGCACACTTAGTAGCCTCTTGGAATTTCAGCATTGCTCCAAACAAGAGAGAACTGGTTTATTTGTATATAGAAATTTAACATTCAAGTCTCCTAGAAGATGGCCAAATTCATCCAAGTAGCTTCGGTCAATCCTTTAAAAGTGAGAAGACCAGAGATCAGGTCCAAAGAAGGCTGAAGTATTCCTAACAATAGGTATAAGTTTTTGACATTGATACCTGCACCTTGAATAGTGGATTCAATGACACCACACTTAATGACTTGAGAGAAAAATGTTAAAAGGTAGTGATACTGGCAGATTCTAGTAGAAGACAGTCTTTCCACAAGAAGAGAGCCTTCCCTGGGGCGCCTGGGTGGCTCAGTTGTTAAGCATCTGCCTTCGGCTCAGGTCCTGATCCCAGGGTCCTGGGATCAAGCCCCGCATTGGGCTCCCTGCTCAGTGGGAAGCCTGCTTCTCCCTCTCCCACTCCCACTCCCACTCCCCCTGCTCGTGTTCCCTCTCTCACTGTCTCTCTCTCTCTCTGTCAAATGAATAAAATCTTTTAAAAAACAAAAAAAGGAGAGAGCCTTCCCTCATACATCCAAATATGGCAAAAGTGAGTTACAGTTAAACAGTCTGTTTAAGATTTATACTCCCCACCTACTTCTTTTTTTTTTTTTTTTTTTACATCCAAATATGGCAAAAGTGAGTTACAGTTAAACAGTCTGTTTAAGATTTATACTCCCCACCTACTTCTTTTTTTTTTTTTTTAAAGATTTTTTATTTATTTATTTATTTGAGAGAGCAAGAATGAGAGAGAGTACATGAGAGGGGGGAGGGTCAGAGGGAGAAGCAGGCTCCTTGCTGAGCAGGGAGCCCGATGCGGGACTCGATCCCGGGACTCCAGGATCATGACCTGAGCCGAAGGCAGTTGCTTAACCAACTGAGCCACCCAGGCGCCCTCCCCACCTACTTCTTAAAAAAATCCAAATATAAGAACACTATAATTTCCTTAAATTTATACATTTGCGGGACGCCTGGGTGGCTCAGTCGGTTAAGCGTCTGCCTTCGGCTCAGGTCATGATCCCGGGGTCCTGGGATCGAGTCCCGCATGGGGCTCCCTGCTCCGCGGGGAGCCTGCTTCTCCCTCTGCCTCTGTCTCTCTCTCTGTCTCTCATGAATAAATAAATAAAATCTTTAAAAAAAAAATTTATACATTTGCATCAATCTTTTTGTAATTCTTCCCATCTTATGTCTGTTTTGATTAACAAATAGTGAGTTCGGATTAAACTAGAAATTAGCATAGAATTTTTTCTGTAGACGTTAAACCATGGTATTTGCACTTATTAGAATAGATGTGAAGAGGAATAAAGATTTCAGAACAAATTTTTTTCCCATCCTAAACAAATTCTGGTCCAGTTTCTGAAGTTATTATACACACTGTGTATAGAGTAATCACTCTGGATTGGAAACAGGAAGTGTGCAAATGCGGTTCAAACCACAAATTGTATTTTATGATAGCTGAATATAAATGTGTTATAATTCCTCAAGGAACTATAAATATACAGCAGGATTATGAAAAGTAGGACTGTTTCATATGAGTGTATGCCCAGTAAAATCACTTTTATTTCATCAAAATGTAAAATGTTTTGTTAGTTACCATGAAAAGTGGGTTTTGTTTAAAATCTAAGAAAACATGATTTTAAATTGAAGACTGTCTATGCCTTGGAGTCAAGTTTCCATATTCAACTATTCCAAAGCTATAACACAAAACTTATTGTATATAATGATAAAACAAGATGCTATCTGTATAGTTTGGGGTATATGACCAACAAGCTTCACAGGGTGGTGACAATCACAAAAATCCTCAAATTTAAGCATAAATAGTAAATGTCCATTTACAGCATTTTTCTTCTTGAAATAATGCATTAATCAGTTAAGTTTTACCTGATGCCAGTGAGAAGTATTCTAGTAACCAGCCTTAAAAAAAAAAAAATTAAAAAGAGGGGTGTGCCTTGCTGGTTCAGTGGGTAGAGCATGCCACTCTTGATATTGGAGTTGTGGGTTTGAGCCCCATGTCGGGTGTGGAGATTACTTAAAAATAAAATCTTTAAAAAAGGGAAGAAAGAAACCAAATCATCTGGTGGCTATGAGCTCATACTAAAACAACATTAGCATTGGGTTGGAACTTCAGAGCTGGGGCCCATACCTCAAAATCTCTGAATAAATAAAAAAAATTATGTCAGATTATCAAGATCACAGAAAATAGGGGAACCTGGGTGGCTCAGTCGTTAAGCGACTGCCTTCCGCTCAGATCATGATCCCAGGGTCCTGGGATCGAGTCCCACATTGGGCTCCCTGCTCGGGGCGGGGTGAAGGAAGCCTGCTTCTCCCTCTCCCACTCCCCCTGCTTGTGTTCCTATTCTCGCTATCTCTCTCTCTCTGTCAAATAAATAAATAAAATCTTTAAAAAAAAAAAGATCACAGAAAATAGTAGTGAAATCTACTATTGAAAAAACAATTGGAGAGCAGGCCTCTACATGTGTATTTTGTTTGCTTTCTGTGCTCCCATAAAAGTGCTACTTGCTGGCCAAATTAAGGTGTTAAGAAAAATATATGGACTCACAACCTTTTCAACCGAAAAGAACCCTTCCGATCACCCAGTAATTTTCCTTATTTTAGGGATGAGATAACGGTCCCTGTTTAGTGAAGGACAGAATAGTTCTGAGACGTCCAATTTTCCAGGGACTCCTATTTGTAAATGAGCTTTTAAACCCAGCAGTGTCATCTAAGCAGTCTGGCCAGGCCCTCAGAGCACTCTGGGACTAGGTTCCCAGACTCTGCCCTGCCACCCCCTTCCCCAGTCCACCTTTAGGCCATCGATTCCATTAATCTCTGTGCAACCACAGAGCTACCCTAGTAGGTCACCTGCCATCTAGATTCTAGAACTATCTGTTCGTTTGTCAACGTTCCCTCGCCCCCACCTCATGAAGGTTGTGAATGAAGTTGAGCTCCAGGAACACACCCTATCTTTGTATCCTTGGCTCCCGTCATAGAGTGGGTGTTCAATACGTTTTGTTAAGGCAAACAAGCGTCCAGCACACCGACTGTTGACCAAGGGAGGAAAAAAAGGGGGGGGGGATGGTGAGAGGAGGGAAGAGAAGATTTAGAAAGCTGGATGGGAACCGTGAGAAAGGTGAGAGATTACCTCCTGCAAACTGACCCTTGAAGGTAAAACTAGCTGGTTGGGGGCAAAAGGCAAGGGAAGGAGAGTGTATCACAGTTTGAAGTCAAGTAGTTCTCTCAATGCTAATAAATGGGAGGAAGCAGATTTGACACCAGATTCTGCTAAAGTAGAACGCTAACCTTAAAGGTCTAACGAACATTCCTTGCCTCAACTTTTTAAAAATTACATTTTCGCAAAGTGGGTTAACCTATATGGAGGAGGCGCCGGCAACACTGATTCTCCGGAGACTGGAGCAGACCCGGGAGGAAAGGAGCTGAGGGAAGTGAAGGGGTCGCGGGCATGGAGGCCCAGGGATGCGGATCCCGGCTGGGGCAGCCTGAAGCCATCACCTTCTCCTGCTTCGGGGAGCCCGGCACGCCCCGAGGAGCGCCCTTCGCCTTTCGCATACCTTTCGGTGTCGAGGGCGGAGGAGCGGCGGCCGGGGCATGCCCACAGTCCCACCCGTAACTAGGACGTATGTTGGGCAGGTCTCACGTAGGTGCAGCCGCGCTGCCGAGCTCCAGTACCTCCCGGCACCGCTGTTGTACACCGTTGCCAGGGAGACAGAGTGGGGCATGCTGGGAAGCCGGAGCTAGGCGGCCCAGTGCGGGTCCCCGAGGCGGAAGTGTGCGCCGACCCAAGTGGGCGGGGAAAGACGATCAGGCCCGACCGGTCTGGCTTTCCTAACCTGACAGCCGCCATTTCGGAGCTTACTTCCCGGCCCTCCTTTAGCGACCTCGCGCCTCCAGGCCCGGGAGCACCTGCCCCAGGCGCAGTCTGGCACCACTGGCTTCATGGAACCGAGCTGCCCAGTGACGTCATACCCGGAGACTTCCGGTTCCCGCTCTTGAGGTTGGAGTCTCATGTGCGGACGTTTCCAGCAGAGGCTCCCGCAGTCTTTTAATGGAAGGGCTGGTGCTCTGGGAGGAAGATGCAGGTGGGCTCTGCTGCTGGTCCGGGTAGCGAGTTGTAAGGGTTGTGGTGGCGTGATGTATGAAGGCCTGTGTTTGACTACTAACATCAGACCTTTTGTGCGCCTTTCTCCTATCCAGCTCGCTTTTGTTCAACAACTGTTGCAATGTCCTGTAATTGGTTTAGGATGAGTTGACATGGCCTCTGTTCGCATAAGCTTTACAAGACATAAATAACTGCTATGCCGGATAAGGTGCTGAGGGTTGGGCTAAAATTAGGGTGAAATGAGTTGGGCGCAAAATGCAAGAGGGTACCCCAAAAGTCTGTAATCAAGATAAATATATTTTAATGCGGTATATTTAAAAATCAAAATTAATGCAAAAGAAATCCATGATTGACAAAATCTCATGGTTTTAAATAAAGACAGTGCCATGCCGAGCCATACTAGAGTGTGAGGCCAAAGGAAAAGCTAGTAACACACATCCTGTGACTTAAGTTAGCCAGATAAGGAACTATATTCTTGGTACTGAACCAGATATGCAAAGACAAGAAAATGGAAAGAGCCTCTGGTTAGGGTGAAACTGGAGAGTAAGCCCCTGCATGCTTATGAAGCAGTAATTTTCCTTACTCAAAACTATGCCAATTAAGATGGGACCTAACACAAGCCAAGGCCTAAAAGAAATTCCCAGACTCTGATTGTCAATAAAGAAAAACTGGATCCATATCATTGACCCTATACACTTTAGTTAACTGAAGCCCAGTGCTCTCTGATTTATTAATTATGAGATTGAGGAGGGTATCATTTTTATAGCTTAGGACTTTTTATTTTGGCCCTACACAAATATTCTGTGTTGCAAGATGGTGACCGTTACCTATCTCAATATCAGAGTCCACAGTAGTCTTTATAAGTATGTCAGTAATGGACTTCAACTGATTTTCTTTTAGAAACAACAGGCTCCATCCCTATCCAGAGATTAAACTCCATGAAACCATTGCATTTGTGCCTTGTTACACATGGGGAAAGCTGCTTGAGCACCTAGGTAAGAATTGAGATGCTAACACCTAATATGTTCTGTTTAAAGAGCTGTTCATAATATTTGCTGTTGGTTTGTGGTGCTGGAAATGATGACTTGGTCCCCAGTAAACAGCATCAATTGAAAGTGTGTTCTGTGTTTTAAACAGGCAATTCTTCAGACAGTCATCATGGGTATTCGAGGACTAATGAGTTTTGTGGAAGATCACAGTAATGAGTTCTTCACTGATTTGAAGTTGCGAGACACAAAAATTGTCATTGATGGCTATGCTCTCTTCCATCGGCTTTGCTTCAACTCAAACTTGGAACTTCGGTATGGAGGGGACTATGACTCTTTTGCAGATGTTGCACAAAAATTCTTTGAATCACTGTTTGCTTGTAATATCTGTCCATATGTTGTATTAGATGGAGGATGTGACATTTCTGATAAAAAGCTTAAAACTCTAAAGGATCGAGCTAGAGAGAAGATCCAGATGGCTCATTCCCTTTCTGTTGGTGGGGGTGGGTATGTGTGTCCCTTACTCATCCGGGAAGTGTTCATACAGGTTTTGGTCAAGCTACAGGTGTGTTTTGTCCAGTGCTTTTCAGAAGCAGATCGGGACATTATGACACTAGCTAATCATTGGAATTGCCCTGTGTTATCATCAGATAGTGACTTTTGCATCTTTGACCTAAAAACTGGGTTTTGCCCATTGAATAGCTTTCAGTGGAGAAATGTGAACACTATCAAAGGCACACAAGACTGCTATATCCCTGCCAAGTGCTTTTCCCTGGATGCACTCTGCCATCATTTCAGCAATATGAATAAAGCTCTACTGCCTCTCTTTGCGGTGCTATGCGGAAATGATCATATTAATCTGCCCATCATAGAGACATTCTTAAGTAAAGTACGTCTTCCTCTTGGAGCTACCAGTTCTAAGGGGAGGAGACATCACCGAGTTTTGGGACTTCTGAATTGGTTATCTCATTTTGCCGACCCTACTGAAGCACTGGATAATGTTCTGAAATATCTCCCCAAAAAGGATCGTGAAAATGTTAAGGAAATTCTCTGCTGTTCCATGGAAGAATACCAGCAATCTCAGGTGAAGCTGCAGGACTTTTTCCAGTATGGTACTTACGCCTGTCCAGCCGCCTTGAATCTGGACTTACCAGAATGGGTATTAGTAGCTTTGGCCAAAGGCCAGCTATCTCCTTTCATCAGCGATGCTTTGGTGCTAAGAAGGACCATTCTTCACACACAGGTGGAAAATATGCAGCAACCAAATGCCCACAGAGTATCTCTGCCCATCCGGCAAATCATCTATGGGCTTCTTTTGAATGCCTCTCCACATCTGGAAAATATGTCCTGGGATGCATTGCCTTCTCAGCCTCTAGCTTTCAGCGAAATGGAAAGGATTAATAAAAATATCAAAACATCGATTGTTAATGCAGTAGAACTGCCCAAGGATCATTCTGACTTAAGCAAATTGACTGAGGTAAGTGTAACACTAATCTAATTTTTGTAAAGTATCTTACAGGTTAAAAAGTGCTTTCATGCATATTATCTCTCTTAATGTAACCAAATGAGGTTGGTTGCTCTAGTCCCCCCATTTCATAGCGGAGAAAACTAGGACTCAAAGTAGGTTACTGTGTGATATGTCAGCCAGAGGGTTGCAGTCAAACCCAGGTTTTTAGCCCCAGATCTGCCATTTGCACTCTACTTTAGTAGTCTGTGTTATTTTGCAGTTATTACTACTAGTTTGTTGATACTAGCTGTTAATAAATTGGGGTCATGTGCCTTTAGAAAAAGAAAAAATTCTGAGCTGCAAAAAGAAGTGTGCCTTGAAGGTATTGATCATAGGCATAATGAATATCTTAGACTGCATCAGATTTCCATTAATAAGATTAATACTAATTCTTGCTTGGTCTAATTTTTCATTTTTATCGATGAGGACCTTTTTCTTAGGCTTTAGGTTTATGGCATCATGATGATTAGTTTGATATTGAAAATATGAATCTTAGCCTCAGTGTTGTTTAAACCTGAGTAACACTCAGACCAATCCACTTTTCAAGGTAAAAAATAATTTATGGATCCCAGTGTTTATTGTTTGTAATATTACATAAATATATTAAAAATTATAAATAGAGGGGCACGTAGGTGACTCAGTCAGTTAAGCATCTGCCTCTTGATTTCAGCTCAGGGTCCTGAGATCGAGCCCCGAGAAGGGCTCTGCACTGGGTATGGAACCTGCTCAAGATTCTGTCCCTCCCTGCTCACATCCTTGCTTGGGCTCTCTCTCTCTCAAAAAAATTATAAATATGAAACTGCTTATGCTAACACAATTAAATTTACAAATTAAATGCAGATAAACTTAAAATACCAATTGCAGTGTCTATTCAGAGTTTTCTTAAATTCAGCTAATACTCAGATTCATGAGACTCCCATAGACCATTCCTGGTAGGTCTACTCAAGCATGTGGGACAGCAACCATAGCTTCCCAGCAGTTTGAATCAGGATTTTCTTTCCTGTGGAAGTTTTTGCAACAGTTTCCATCAGTGGTTCTCCACTGGGATGATTTGTCCCCCTACCTCCCACAGGGGACATTTGGCAATGTCTGGAGACACTTCCAATTATCACTACTTAGGTTGTTGGGGGAGGGAGGGGTGTTGCTACTGGCATTTATTGGGAAGTTGGAAGCATCCAAGCATGCTGCTGAACATCTTAAAATGCACCGGACAGCTCCCCCAAGAACAAGCATTATCCAGCCCGAAATGTAGTAATGCCAATAGCTGGCCTACACTGTTGGCTAGGGACTAAATTCTTTAATCTCCCCATTAGTGCCAGCTCAGGCAGGAGGAAATGAGATCCACATCAGGTGGGTATCAGTGCCTCCTTGGCAATGAGGAATGACTGCTAATGGGAACAGTGTTTCTTTTTGGGGGTGCTGAAATGTTCTGGAATTAGTGATGGTTGCACAGGCTTATAAATATACTAAAATCACTTTAGCGTTTCCGAGGGAGGGGGTTGGGGAGATGGGGTAACAGGGTAATGGGTATTAAGGAGGGCACGTGTTGTGATGAGCACTGGGTGTTATATGCAACTAATGAATCATTAAACGCTACATCAAAAACTAATGATGGCTGACCATAAAAAAAAATTAAAATTAAATAAAATTAAGAAACT